TCATCGAGGTTCAGAAACAAATTAGAAACATCTCTATATTGTACCAGAATGCAAGAGGATTACGGACAAAGCTTAAGGAGTTTTATTCAACAACAGCGTCTAGTGGGGTGGATATCATTTGTATTTCCGAATCATGTATTAAATAATAGTATTGCTGATGGCGAAGTGATAGATAATACATCTAGATTGTTTAGAAGAGATCGAGATAATGTACCTAATCAGAAGCAACGAGGAGGAGGTGTTTTCATCGGAGTGAAAAAACACATCCAGGCAAATCTGAAAAGTGTTACCCACCAAGATATCGAACAAGTATTTGTAAAAATTAAGTTAGGGTCAGATCTATTAATTATTGGAAATGTTTATATATCCTCCGTTGAGCGATATATGTATTTATGAGAAACACGTTAATGAACTTATTAACATAGTCAAGAAATATCCAGGTTGTAAAATTCTATTCATGGGTGACTCCAATCTTCCTGATACTAGATAGAGCCACAATGGCACGGAAGAATTTTTTGGTGACTCAGTTTTACATTGTTCACTAATTGGGCTGTCATAAATGACTTCTTCACTAATTGTGATCTGTTAGTTAAGAAGTCGTTTAACCTGGTACCGGAGGACAAGTATCATCCTGCAATTGGAACAGAAATTAAATATTTTGATACAATTAAACCTAGAGTAGTGAAATACTTCAACTTCAAGAAGGGTGACTATGGCGCTCTCAATAACCTTCTCTTGCAAGCGAACTGGATATCTATGTATCAGATGAATAACATTGATGATATTATTACTCATTTTTATAGAATTATCTGGAATGGAATATTTACTACAGTACCTCAGTAAGCAAGAAGTGCAGTAGATATCTGTGCTGGTTTAGCAAAGATTTAATTAGCAAAATGAAGGCAAAGAGAGACGCTCACAGTACTTATAAGCAAAAGGGTTATGGAACTGATTATACAGCTTTCAGCAACTTAAGAAATGAGTGTAGAAGATGAGTATTCAGTGCTACAATGACTTCACTTTCGGGCAGAAGAAAAAATAAAAGACAATCCTCAGTACTTCTGGAAATACATTAAGATGAAAAAAAGATCTGATAGGGGTATTCCTACTTCTATGGAATGGATTGAAAAAAAGGCAGATGGAGTAGAAAAATATGTAACATGTTTGCGGCATTTTTCAAGAGCACATATGAGGGGAATCAAAATTACTACCAAATGAATTTGACGCACTATTAAATGGTCTGTCCAATGGCAACACTAACCTGAGTAAAATCGAAATCAGTTTTGATGAATTGCTCCAAGGATTGCTATCATTGGACAGTTCTATGGGATTTGGGCCAGATGGAATACCGAACTTGTTACTAAGAGAATGTTCAGTGGGCTTGTGCGAACCTTTAAGTTTTATCTTCAATAAGTCCTTGAAATGGGGTGTGTTTCCAGTTGTCTGGAAAGACGCATATGCTGTCCCTGTGTTCAAATCAGGTGTGAAATCTAATGTATGTAACTACAGACAAATTTGCATTCAATCAGCTCTACCCAAATTATTTGAAAAAAAAATTTATAGTAGAATAGAATTTTGGTTTAGAAGCACCTAATTAATCAACAACATTGTTTTATAAAAGGCAGGTCTACAACTACTAATCTCATGACATATGTGGAATGGAAACACACGCTATATACACAGACTTTAGTAAAGCCTTCGATTTGGTTAATCATGATGTGCTCTTGATGAAGCTTAATAAATATGGGATTCTGGCCGGTTATATAATTGGTTTGAATCCTATTTGAGAGGCAGAAACTACAGGTGAAATCAATTGATTCCATATCAGATGAATTTACGGTCTCTTCAGGAGTGCCGCAAGGATCTCATCTTGGACCGTTGTTATTTTGTATATTTGTGAACGACATTGGCAATGGTTTCTCGTCTGAGTATTCTTATTTGCGGATGACTCTAAAATATACGGAACGAAATACGCATAAGGAACGAAAAGTGATTTGTGTGCGCTCCAGGAAGACCTAAATCGATTATTTAGATGGTGTGAAATAAATAAATTTAAACTGAATGTAGTAAATGCGCAGTTATTAAATTTTGTCGCGGCAGTGAAAGCTACTCTAATCATCGTTATTCATAGCAGAAGAAGTACTTCCGCAGGCGGATGGTATTCGTGACTTGGGAGTATATATAGATAGAAAACTAGCATTCGATGGTCGCTTGAACAATATTGTGTCGAGGGCAAATAGTTACTCGGTGGTCTGCTCAGAAACAGTGGAGATTTTCAAAATGATGCTACCCTGAGTGTACTATTTGATACCTTAGTTAGACCAATTTTAGAGTATGGGTGTATAATTTGGGACCCGATTTACCAATATCAAATTGACAGAATTGAATCTGTCCAGAAAAAATTTGTCAACCATGTTAGATTCCGCCGATACATGAATAATATCTTCCGACTTATCCTTCAGATAAGTCGGTCCCAAATGTACAACCATCTAAACATTACGCCACTCAATGCTAGAAGAAATACCTCACCTTCTGCTATGGAGTAAATATTGTGAAAGGTGCTTTAGATGTGCCTGAACTTCTTGAACGATTCAAAGAATTTCGAAAATAATAAATGAATTTGCTCCTGTGATTGATATATTTGGTCTGTCGGTTGTCAAATATAAAAAATCAAGCCAGGGAAAAATATCCTTCAAGACTGTCTTAAGTGGTAATTTATAGTTTATTAACTGTTTAATTTGTATTAGTTTTTATTAAATGTTAATTTTATTAGTTTTTATTTAATGTTTTATATTTGTAGTTTATATATATATATATATATATATATACTATATATATATATTAAGTGTTATGTATACTCGTATTACAAATCTATATATGAATTCTTAATACTCAAATTTTCTCATATTATCTTTAGTTTAAATTTGTACACTTTAGAATGTAATTATATTGTATTATTGCCTTGGGCGTTAAAAAGAAATAAATAAATAAATATATATATATATATATATATTATAACATATATATATTGATGTTTCTTTTCCGAACAGTAAATCCAATATAAAAAACAATTTGTTTTTTGAAGATGTTTAATAACGACGTTCGGAACTAGGTACGTTCCATCATCAGGTTTATTCTGTCAAATACAATGTTTTTTAAAACTATTGATTAACATTAATTAATGATGGTCAATTACAAATTAATTAGAAAAAAAAAATTATAAAGGAATGGATTATGTACCGGTGTAAAGAGTAATAAGAATTAATTAAAAAAGGTTTTATATAAAATTGAGAAGCAAAAATTATTTACCTGTAATAATTTATATATCCATATCACTAATATTTTTGTTAAAAACACTCGATTTTTTTGGAAGATATTTGTAGATGTTACGACTACACAAGACTATAAACACGCTGATATGGAGTTCTGTCGGCCAGATGTGAGGAATGATGTACGGAATTTTAGGAAAAATGATTTTTTATGGCTCTTGTATTGGTATGTTACCAATACAAGAGCCATAAAAAATCATTTTTGCCTAAAATTCCGTATTGGTATGTTACCAATACAAGAGCCATAAAAAATCATTCATGCCTAAAATTCCGTATTGGTATGTTACCAATACAAGAGCCATAAAAAATCATTTTTGCCTAAAATTCCGTACATCAGCCCTCACATCTGGCCGACAGAACTCTATATCAGTGTGTTTAAGTCTTGTGTAGTCGTAACATCTACAAATATCTTCCAAAAAATCGAGTGTTCTTAACAAAAAATATTAGTGATATGGATATATAAATTATTACAGGTAAATAATCTTTGCTTCTCAATTTTATATAAAACCTTTTTTAATTAATCTTATTACTCTTTACACCGGTACATAATCCATTCCTTTATAATTTTTTTTTTCTAATTAATCTGTAATTGACCATCATTAATTAATGTAAATCAATAGTTTTAAAAAACATTGTATTTGACAGAATAAACCTGATGATGGAACGTACCTAGTTCCGAAACGTCGTTATTAAACATCTTCAAAAAACAAATTGTTTTTTATTATTGGATTTACTATTCGAAAAAGAAACAATCAATATATTGAAAAAATCCAGGACTTATCTATTGAATATATATTGTAGTGGTATTCACCCCTTTACAATAATTATAAATAATATTATAAATTTGATATAACAGTCAATATGAAAGACGCATTTAACGTTTTTTTCTAGAAGGATGGTTACGTCATCATCAGAGATTATAAAAAGCCTGAGGACGACGGAACTAGTGTTCATTCTCGACTAGACGCCAAACAGTTCACATCACTCTTATTTTAAAATATCAATTGTGTATTAAGTGTAACCAAGTAATGAAGTAAATAAAAATTAATAAATGTCTTCAGATGTTTAATTAAATATTTCCACAGTGATAAAGTTATGATTAGCAGCAGAAGAACCTAATTTTAATTGTTGACATCGTTGGTGTGACGCAACATAATTGTGGCAACGGATCCACAACATATTTGTTGACAGCCAGGGGTGACACAAAAATAATATATAATATATATATATATATACATATATATATATATATATATACACACATTTATATATCTGTTTAAAATATTTCTGTATGCTTCACATTTATCTGAATTTGATGTGACATATGTATTAACAAGGTTGGGTAATATTATAATAATACATATTCTGTCTCTTCATCATAAGCTTAAGATTTGTTTAAAAAAATTTCTGTATGTTTCACATGTTTTAGTACTGTGTAAAGCTTTGCAAGTGATAGTTGGTGTTTTTTTGTAATTTCAAAAATTAAATGTAATTTAAATAAAATATTAAAAAATGTGTAGTATATAAGTAACTGTTTTGAAATTACACTGAAGATGAGGCATACCATTGTCTCGAAACGTCTGTAATTACCAAGTGTGTGTTAAAAATCTGAGTGTTGTATGTATGTGTGAGTTTGTATGTATGTGTGAGTGTTCTTGGAAATATCCCTTTGCTGTTTCTGGTTCAAACTATTCTAATTATTTCAACTTACTTGTCAAGTTCATATCGCTCCTGCTGAAGATTGAGTAACAATCCTCTTTGCTTCTTCTTCAGTGATGGAATCTCATTCACGTTACCACTCATTTTTAACTCTCTATGGATCAATAAAAAATGTTATAAGAAACATAATGTATACAATTTTTTCTTAGTTTAGTTTACAAAACAATTCATAGTTCCCATAAACATAAATCGTCATAACATCAGTTCGGACAGCATTAAAGTAATAAATATTTTTTACAAAACAGTGTTTTAATTTATATATAAAGAGAGAAAATTTATAAGTAAATAAAATACCAAGAAAGTGGTGAACAAAATTATATCAATTAACGAAGAAATTACATTACAATTATATTTAGAAAGATGATACACAATAATGGTATCGTTATGTTAAAAATGAATTAAAATGAAACAAGTACAAGTAACGCCCGTATAACACGGGTTTGCTTTAATAGATTCTATAATTGACACCAGAGATGGTTTTATAAAAGGGTACTTCCACACAAGCCCTAATGAAATAAGAAATACAGTAAAACGCACAAAAAGCAATCTTTATCTATTCTAAAATTAGTGAAATCGCAGTACAATAGCTCAATAAATGTGATGAAACTTGTACGAAGACAACTCATTTGACATTTTTTCATCGAGCGCCTCTGTTCTATCGAAAAAAGGATTAGGCTTTTCTGATTAGTTGGTCATATTTTTCAGAAGATTCTTCAATAAAATGAGCACAAAATTTAATAAAGGTGCATTATGCAGCGCTTTGCAACAATAAGGTATAAGTATAAAATATATAATATAAAAATGAAGGTAGTACAAAAAAAATGCTCGAAGGATGACAATATCTTGCCAAGAAGAAAACGATCGCGTTGGATAGCACATCCTTATTACTTATGACAAAAAAATATTATGTAATTCATTGAATGTGTATTACGTCAGAAAATTAAATAAATATAATAATGTTTATTATAAAATTATTATTTGAAGCTTTAGAAAATAATATGAATTATTGGAATATAACTCCTATTTTTGTACTAGTCCTACGAATTCATATAACCCGCTACTATTTGGGAGTTTAACTACCATGTAATAAGGGAATTACCTGTATTGTTTGGTTATATGCAAATGTATGATACTTATATAATTTATATATATATATATATATATATATATATATATGATTTAGTAGTTAATTTTGATGTTGAAATATATGAGTGAGTTCTTGAGGGCGATACATCAAACAAAGAAAACCAAAGATTTATAAAATAATTTTTATTTCCAACGTTTCGACATTCAATTTAATGTCATCATCAGTGGATATTACGTTGGTTAGTTACATATAGAGAAGTGTACACAGCACTAGAGATTTGGCACTAACATTTATACAACTAACTTGTCAGCACTATGCATTTTTTTATATAATTTTTTTGTATGATGTAAACAGAAAAATGATAGTTTTATTGAACAAAAATGTAAGTAAAATTATGTAATTTCTGCCACGACTTCTGTACTTTGCTAGTACCGAGGCATGTATCATATGCCTCGGTACTAGCAAAGTACAGAAGTCGTGGCAGAAATTACATAATTTTACTTACATTTTTGTTCAATAAAACTATCATTTTTCTGTTTACATCATACAAAAAAATTATATAAAAAAATGCATAGTGCTGACAAGTTAGTTGTATAAATGTTAGTGCCAAATCTCTAGTGCTGTGTACACTTCTCTATATGTAACTAACCAACGTAATATCCACTGATGATGACATTAAATTGAATGTCGAAACGTTTGGAAATAAAAATTATTTTATAAATCTTTGGCTTTTCTTTGTTTGATGTATCGCCCTCAAGAACTCACTCATATATATATATATATATATATATATATATATATATATATATATATATATATATATATATTAGTAGTACACTAGCTGTTACAATAAATGTTTTGTCCAATACCTTTTTCTATTCTCCAATAACGTTATTTCATCCTTCGTTCTATCGATCAACGACTGCTCCTTTTTCTTCAACATAGATTTTAGACGCATCACTTTCAAATATTCTTCGTGCAACATTTTGTCTAACTAAATATATTATAATACCTCAATAAATAATGAATTTTATATCAATAGAAATATAATAACATACCAAGATAAGTAAGATTTTAGAATTATGTTAAACTCTAAAAAAAATTTGATAGTCAAAGGGTATGGGCGTGTTTCCATACAGAATTGGCCCCACCCTGGTATTTAAATAATTTTGATGCCATTTTATGGGTATTTTCGAGAAAATCCGATATACCAAATTTCAAATCCGTAGCTCATCATTTGGCCGAGATATCATTGAAAATGTGTGAAAGTGGCCCCTTTTTTCAAAGTCGTTTTTTGTCGCAACTATGAAAGATATCGACAAACAAATAACGGGACTCTATTCACATCAGTGTGTACTATATTATTAATAACAAATATTGTTTATTAATTATTTTTTTAGTGCATGAAAAAGTGAAAATAATTTTTTGTTTGAATTTTCCGGTAGTGCGGTTGTTTGGACTAATTTTTAATTATCATCAATAGAAAGGCTATTGAATTTTCTTTTAGTGTGCATAATTTTGTTTTATTTCATGTAGTAGAACACATTCAAAAATAGGAAAAGTCTGAGCAAGTACACGCTCGCGCTCATATAGAACCCGTGTAAGTCGTCTCTCATTCGCAATGACTAGCAACAGCATTGCTCGCCGCGCATCGTGATAAATTAAAACATTTCTAATAAAACACAAGATATTGTATATGTATAATAATAACTATATTTTATTTAATTAAATATATATTACTTATGTATTGCACAAGTATATTATATTATTTAATCATCTTTAATAATTAATTAATCAATTATTACCTATTAATTCATTAATAATTATTAATTCATTAATAATTATAATTAATATTAATCATTAATTATCACTAAATAAATAAAAAATAGGTTGATAAAAATATACATAATCATAGTATATCGGTATATGATTTCTATTCATGCTACAGCAATGTATAGAAATGCAAGTGTACTAAGTTAGTCTGAAAATATTTTAAATAATATATTGTTTAATAAGTTTTTTTTTTTAAATTAAATAATATATAAAAATATATTGAATAGAATATCTCTACCTATAAATACTCATAATAATTGTTGAACTACTGTACTATTGTGCATAATTCTTAATTAAAACGAAATTTGAAATTTTGCGGCAAAAACCACAAATAAGATAACAAAATGCAGACAGCATAAAATTAATATAATTCTGGAATTTAACTAATCACGAAGTTTTCGATAATTATTAAATAAATAATGTTTTTTTTTACTTTTTGTGTGATGTTTGGGAACTCTACACTTTTGTACCAGATTTTGATTTTGCACTTTTCTTATATTTTAGTGGCAATTTAATTTGATTAGAGTATAATTTAGTTATTACCATGAAACAATTAATAATGCCGCGAAAGCGTTTTAATTAAGGATGATACACAATAGTACATTGCTCGCCGCGCATCGTGATAAATTAAAACATTTCTAATAAAACACAAGATATTGTATATGTATAATAATAACTATATTTTTATTTAATTAAACATATATTACTTATGTATTGCACAAGTATATTATATTATTTAATCATCTTTAATAATTAATTAATCAATTATTACCTATTAATTCATTAATAATTATTAATTCATTAATAATTATTAATTAATATTAATTATTAATTATCACTAAATAAATAAAAAATAGGTTGATAAAAAATATACATAATAATAGTATATCGGTATATGATTTCTATTCATGCTACAGCAATGTATAGAAATGCAAGTGTACTAAGTTAGTCTGAAATATTTTAAATAATATATTGTTTTAATAAGTTTTTTTTTTTAAATTAAATAATATATAAAAATATATTGAATAGAATATCTCTACCTATAAATACTCATAATAATTGTTGAACTACTGTACTATTGTGCATAATCCTTAATTAAAACGAAATTTGAAATTTTGCGGCAAAAACCACAAATAAGATAACAAAATGCAGACAGCATAAAATTATATAATTCTGGAATTTAACTAATCACGAAGTTTTCGATAATTATTAAATAAATAATGTTTTTTTTTACTTTTTGTGTGATGTTTGGGAACTCTACACTTTGTACCAGATTTTGATTTTGCACTTTTCTTATATTTAGTGGCAATTTAATTTGATTAGAGTATAATTTAGTTATTACCATGAAACAATTAATAATGCCGCGAAAGCGTTTTAATTAAGGATGATACACAATAGTACAATATAAGAAAAGTGCAAAATCAAAATCTGGTACAAAAGTGTAGAGTTCCCAAACATCACAAAATTAAAAAAAAAATTATTTATTTAATAATTATCGAAAACTTCGTGATTAGTTAAATTCCAGAATTATATTAATTTTATGCTGTCTGCATTTTGTTATCTTATGTGTGGTTTTTGCCGCAAAATTTCAAATTTCGTTTTAATTAAGGATTATGCACAATAGTACAGTAGTTCAACAATTATTATGAGTTTTATAGGTAGAGATATTCTATTCAATATATTTTTATATATTATTTAATTTAAAAAAAAAAACTTCAAGATATTATTTAAAATATTTTCAGACTAACTTAGTACACTTGCATTTCTATACATTGCTGTAGCATGAATAGAAATCATATACCGATATACTATTATTATGTATATTTTTTATCAACCTATTTTTTATTTATTTAGTGATAATTAATAATTAATATTAATTAATAATTATTAATGAATTAATAATTAATAATTAATTAATAGGTAATAATTGATTAATTAATTATTAAAGATGATTAAATAATATAATATACTTGTGCAATACATAAGTAATATATATTTAATTAAATAAAAATATAGTTATTTTTACATATACAATATCTTGTGTTTTATTAGAAATGTTTTAATTATCACGATGCGCGGCGAGCAATGCTGTTGCTAGTCATTGCGAATGGAGAGACGACTTACACGGGTTCTATATGAGCGCGAGCGTGTACTTGCTCAGGATTTTCCTATTTATGAATGTGTTCTACCACATGAAATAAAACAAAATTTTGCACACTAAAAGAAAATTCAATAGCCTTTCTATTGATGATAATTAAAAATTAGTCCAAACAACCGCACTACCGGAAAATTCAAAACAAAAAATTATTTTCACTTTTTCATGCACTAAAAAATAATTATTAAACAATATTTGTTATCAATAATATAGTACACACCGATGTGAATAGAGTGCCGTTATTTGTTTGTCGATATCTTTCATAGTTGCGACAAAAAACGACTTTGAAAAAAGGGGCCACTTTCACACATTTTCAATGATATCTCGGCCAAATGATGAGCTACGGATTTGAAATTTGGTATATCGGATTTTCTCGAAAATACCTATAAAATGGCATCAAAATTATTTAAATACCAGGGTGGGGCCAATTCTGTATGGAAACACGCCCATACCCTTTGTTTAATCAGTAATTATTGTTGTTAATGAACACCAAGTGGTACAGTAAATCTGATATCCATACACATGCGTAACCCGCATTGCATCGTTTACTGATTAAATTTCCGTAGTTAAGTTATAGTACTCGCAAAAAAAAACGAAAAAAAAATTTTTTTTGCTGCTCTTTACGTTTCAGAGGTTTCTAAACCATTTGGCATACCTTAGAAAAATGGATGTGAGTGTGTGTGTAGTATATATGTATGTAAGGATACAAAGTTTCGCCGACGATTTTGAGAGCACAATTCAACTGATTTGAGTGATTCAAAAAACATTCGATTCCTATTGAAGGGAGACGTGCTGATTAGTTTTTGGCTAGAGCCGTTCCGAAGATAGGGACATAAATAAGCAAAAATGTGCAAATCGGTTATTAAGAGAACAGTGTACCCGATTTGAATAATCTAAAAATCATGTCACTTGTATTGACAGTGAAAAATTGATTTAATTTTTGAGAAGACAGATCCAGAGACTGGTGAGATCCAGAAAAAAAATCATTTAGCGCTCAAATATGTTTATTAGACATGTGCATATGAAATTATCGGATATTTTATAGTGATTTTAAGAATATATATATATATATATATATATATATATATATATTTACCATTTCTTTGGGTTCCGTCCTAAAATTTATAATGTTTATTAGCTGATACAGTTCAAATAAATGTCCTCGACATTTTCGACAGTATGGTTTAACCAATTTGAATGAGTTTCAAAATCGTGAACGTACAAATTTTTGAAAAAGAACATTTTTTCAAACATTCCATAATTTTTCTTTATTTTATATTTTAAAGCTTTTCAAAATATTAAATTACTGAACAGAAAGTGCCAGCAATTTGCTTTAAGGAACGATGCCATGCACCACTAGTTTTTTGTTCATTGCGTCTTTCGTTATTGCTTAATTGTTACTGATGTCATTGTTTGGTTGAATTTGACTTTGATCAATTTTCTTAAAAAAAAAAATAAGAAAAAAATCATTTTGCATTGTTTTAATTTGCTTCGTGTTTTCATTTGAATGTGATTAACATTGCAAAGTGAGGATATGACGTATATGATAACAGTTACTTTAATAAATCGATAATTATTAAGTATTACTTACATTATTTAAATTAACAAGGTCATCATGATGATTCCTTTTGGTGATAAAAATACTTGTTGAGCTTTCACTCTCTGATGCGGCATTCATATGTGTTCGAGAATTTTGAATATTTTGTATGTTTTCGAAAGACGAACAGCTCGATTTTAGACGACTTGAATTTATTCGAGACAAATCCAAGGGTGGTATGTATAACTGAAAAAATAAAAAAATTCAAAAAAATGGTTAGAGCAATAGTAATTTAGTGTAACAGAAAATTAATATTGCACTACAATATTAAGGACAATGAAAAATTTTAATAAACTTTTATTGATTTTATAAAAAATAAGTACAGCCTTCTTCATGGTATATTATCTCTGAATTTTGTAAAAGTTTTCTCAAATTCATTTAATGCTTTGCTTTAAGTAAAAGACACTCAGGTTTATACTGGGATTTTGATGTAACTTTGCATGGCGATTGTGTTGACAGTCGGACCAAACAACTTAAAATATTATAGGGCTGTGAAAAGTGATTTAATTACAAAAATAAATTATAGATTTGATAAAGTGTATCATATTAATAATGGTAGCTCAGTGAGTTGAAGCGCTTGCTTCTACTTTTTGCGTTTGGATTTATAGAAAAAAGAGTAAACAATGATCGGGTTTGAATCCCGTCAGCGTATAATTTAGTTTTTATTTTGTAATTTATTTTTATGTTTGAATAGTTAAATATTGCAAAAATATTATAATTATTACGTCAATGCATATTTTGCGTTTAAAAATTGATATATTTGACACAAGTCTCAAGTGCTATTTCTGAGATAAAACAGTGATGTTATTTTATTCGAGCATTTTACACAGTCTTAACCAGCAAAACGTAATCTCCAAATAGCATAAATATCCAAATATAACATTAGTTCGATTTCACGTGTATGCTATTTTAACTGTAACAATTTATTGCAACTAAGAATAAAATAGACGTGAAGTGGACTAATAATAATTTGAAGATGAGGTTTTACTAGTTGAGATTGTGCAAAACACTCGAATACCATAGACATAGCCTTTAACAATATCGTGACTATTCATGCGACCCCGCTCAACAAAAAGATCAATAACTATTTTATCCGAGAATTGACTAATCACTTTCAGTATTATATTTTGCCTGATGTTTTTTTTTAAAAAAAACTAATTATAACTATACTGATCAACCAATTGATCAATTGTATATTTGAGTATTATTGATTATTTAAAAATAACAGCTACCTCTAACAACTCGTCAGATACAACAGAATGCAACGATTTACAGTTCTTGACATTGGAACCGGTTTTTTGGACGCCGTTTTTCATGCTCCAAATTTATATTTGCCTAAAGAATAATAACTAGATTACTAAGTTAATGTCAAACGATATAAGGATGAACAGTGCATCATTATGAAAAACAATATTATTTAATACATTCTCACCTCATTTGTGTTATGTTTAAAACTAGTCTGAGTATCTTTGCTTTCAAAAAGTGTTTTCGATAAACTTTTTAAGTCTTCGATATACTTTATTACAGCCTTAATGTCCTCGTTCTTTGATAAAACTTTGTCAGTACTCAAATCTCTAATCAAGGGAGTCTTTTTAGCTTTACCACTATCTAAAATTTTCGGTTGTACATTTTTATAGAACTGTCAGTATTGGTAAACTGCTCTGATCAATTTTTAATCTATGTGCTGGTTTTTTCAAGTTATCAACTTTTTTTGTTTTTGAATTTTCAAATTCACAAGAGTACTGAGTGTAGACCAAGTTGCATGTTCCATTAGTATTCCAAGATCCTGGATTCAGAAACTCGTTGCCGTGTAACATTTGTGATGGATTTGGGTGTTCGGATATTTTTGGGTCAGAAATTTTATTGTTGTGTCCAAATTTTCTTCATAAGACTTTAAATCTTCAGATATGGAACAAGTGTCACTTCTGTGTGTTCTGCATTTTTTAGAAATTTTGTCACTAAAGGCTCTGATGGAGTCGTCTTCGATTTCTATTTCCTAAAATGATAATAACTGGGTGTAAGTGTCATTTTATCAAGATGGTTGCATAACTTACCGATATGTGGAAATAAATAATATAATTAAATTAATAATTAATTAATTAATCAATATAATAGTTTATGAACACATATTTAGGATTTCTGAAAGCTTTATTTTTTTTTTTTCCAAAAATTTTTTTTTCAAATAGATAATACACACCTACACACACACACCATACACAACATTCCAGAATTTATAAATCGGACGCTCCATTCTTTCAAAAACTGAATTACCATTTTTGACACTTCTTGTCCCGTATTTTCGAAACGGCTAGACCTGCCTTTTTCAAAAACTAATCTGTATTTGGAATCATTCAAATCGGTTGATCCGTGCGCTGAAATCGCGGACAAAAATTGTATCCAAACATACATACATACACACACACTCACACAAGAAAAAGTTTATATTTTCTATTTTTTTACGATTACAATAACTTACTCTACGGGAAGTTAATAAGTAAAGGTAAAATTTTTGATTATTATGATATTTCCCATGCCTATTTATGAAGTAAAACTGCAAAAATACTGCAACAGATGATGAATAAAGCCATCAAAATAACTATCAATATAATTAACATCATATCACATCAACAAAAGCAAATTAAATTAAAGAAAGCAAAAAAAATGCATTTTAGTCAATAAAATCAAAATATACGCAAAAATTGAAACTATTTATGTATATTATCAAAATATGAATGTTAGAACTTACCAAATTTTCACTGACCACTCGAGAGTAATCCTTTGACTTATTTTGACTATAAACATCGTTTTGGTTAGACTCTTTAACTTCATCGGTAACACTATGGGTCTCACTCTTCATCAAATCACTCACCACATGCACACTGGCACTCTTTTTAAATTATTACTCGACCAGGTACCTCTTCACTAATACTGTGTTTATTTTCCTTACTTCTAGAAAATCTTTCACTTTTAATAATTTTTCACTTGGCACATCCGTAGGTTCACTTATATTTTTAAATTGAAATGACTTCTCTTTGATTTTTCAGAATGTATAGGAGACAAGTCTCGGCTGTGCTGTTTTTCAGCATCAACGTAAGCCGAGAAAGTTGTGTACAGCTCACTTAAACTTTTTAAATCTGATATCAATTATTTTCGACTTTAATGTTGTACAAAGGCTGGTTGATTTTTCTTGATCATTTTTGGAACAGCTGTTGAAGTCATTTGGTTTTGATTGAGGCTCAGAAGAGAATTTTGTGAATGTGCTTTCATATTCCAGATTTGAAGTTATGGCTTCTGAAGTGGGAGATTCTAATTTTTTTATGCTGGGGTCGAACTTAAAGTGACTTTTTGAATTCGGGTTGAAGTTGTGGCTGTTGTTTTAATATTCTGTAAAGTTATTAAACATTAAACATAAACATTAAGAATTAAAAAATTACTTATTATTGATGTGTATATATTAGATCAAGAAAAAGTTTGTGGAGGAATAGATTTTTTATAGCGTGAAAGTAAATTTACTAAAATAATAAGCTCCAGATAGAGTCCTGCTGAGATCGAGAAGAGTGTTAGTCAGAGGGTGCTATGTCTGAACTAGAGATGGGTAACTCACTCCGGACTTATCACTCCATACAACTCCTCCCTCGGAGTGAATCTGAGCGGAGTTGTGTCGGAGATTTTGTCATATCCGACTTTCCTAAACTGGTATTAAAACCGTTAACTCGTGCAGACATTTAATGCGTTTTTGCTTTGGAAAGGAAGCTGTCGCTTTCTCGTTTCACAGGCAGTTTTATGACCTTTTAGGTATACAAGTCAAAAGTAAGTCAAATAGTCAAAAAGTAAGTAATGTTTTATGCAATATTTTAATTTAAGGTTTAGATATAATTAGTCTGTGTTTTTAGTTAAATCTCTTTCTTTTTATTCTTGCTCTGTGTATTTAGTTTTTAACGTTACTTTCTGTTTTTTTTTCAAAATTGTAGAACCACTGACGATGACGTAGAATTTTACGTCGGAAGGTATGAAAAAATAAAGATGTTTTAAAAATCCTCACTTTATTTATATTTTTTAACTTAATGTTACGCCCTTCAAGAAATTAAAACACACACTATATATATATATATACATACATACATACATATACACATAACACACACATATATATATATATATATATATAATATATATGTATAGTATATATAGATATCCGTATAGAGAATTCGGACACCGACGATCGTTGGTGGGGCAGAAGACAGTATTTCGAACAATGGTTAACGGAAAACACATAATGCTAATTTAAGTTTCCAATATTTTGATTTTAAATTTAAACACACTGATGAGAGACAAACCTAGTCTCGAAACGTTTGTGAAAATTATTATTTAATAAAATAGTGCAAAAAAGAGTGTTGTTTGTTCATATTTCCAAATTAATATCTATATCCACTCAGAATACATTTGTTATATATATATATATATATATAT